AACAACCGACCTAAGTCCTGCAAACCGCTCGGTCGCTTAGCCCCAAAGGTGCTGGAACCAGCAAGGGGGGCCAGTGCCAAAGTACCACAAGCACCCATCAGGCAGGCAAAGCCCAGGGCTTCTCGAACCCATTTGGCGGCCATCGACTGTCTGCCCCGGGCGATCTCCTTGGAAGATTGGAGATGCTCGGAGTGCGTCGGACTGTGGGTTGTTTTATGTGTGAGATGCGTGATTTGAGTTCCTTTTGGCGGGGTATTTGGATGCCGATGTTTCAAATGCTTTCGGGTACTCGGTTCATCCATTTGGAAAGAGACCCTTGTGCAAAGCCTGGGCGATGGTGGTTCGTTCTTTGACCTCGCAGGATGCTTTTCAATCTGGCAGCCCAGGCTCCTCAGCTATGCGCGGCGTGACCACAGCAGGCAGGAAACTGATAAGAAAATAGATTGTGCTGTAGACCTGGTTGGCCGCACCTGGCGTGTTGTCGGAGAACTCGGCTGCAAGGCAAGAACGCATCATCAAGAAAAAGGCCGGAGCCCAGGACAACGAAAGCTATCACAGGTGCGTGGCACAGGCCTCAACCAATCATGGGTCTACTTCGGACCCCGAAAGTCGTACCCTTGGGCTTGGGGGCCCTTTTTCAAGATCCTCTAGGAACTTTAAAGTACAACCTTAAGGGTCCGAGGATGACTCCCTGGAATAGCGCAAAACCCCCAAAACTCAACCTAAACACCCCTCTGTACTGTAGACCCCAGCCCTAAAAACCCCCCATTCCGCAAACCGCTGAACGCCCGTATCTAGGGTTTTCTTTAACGTTAAAAACACCCTGAATAAGGCGTGACCCTGACCGCTGAACACCCGTGTCCTCCCCCCCCCCCCCCCCCCCCGGCTTTTTAAGCATGTCGCGCGTGGAAATGGGTACCCGAATCCTGGTTGTAGTCTTGTTTCTTGGGTCCGGCCCCTTATTGATCCAAACCCTACACCCGAGTATTATTTGAAGTGTTTCTCAATGCTCAATACGAGGCCGGATCCCAGGTTGCATCGGAGAAGTTTTGAGGCAATCTTGGTCCCGGCCCGACCTCGTATTGAATATTGACACTTTTCTTCAATGCTAGATATGGGGTCGGCGAGGATCCCAGATTGCCTCCAACTTCTGCGTGGCAAATTTCTTGGGACCAGTATTCAATATGTGGTCCGGAAAAACCATTTTAAGGGCTGTTTCATGGGGCTTTGGCTTCACATTCAAAATGAACATGCTTTCTTGCTTGCGATTTTTCTATTCAATTTTTGCGAGACAACTTCGCCAAGTCTTTTAGTACTGCATGCTGAAAAGATGTACCATGCATTCTCATTACTGTCTTATCTGTCACACTTGTTCATTCATGATCCCATATGCCAGGTTGAAAGCAGCAATAGCATGAGTGAATCAGGGAATCATAATGAGTGTTTCACGTAATCCCAAGAACACCCTGCAAGACGTCATTTAACTTGTTGGGCCCGGTTGGAAGAAGAACACCTGGCCGATTAAAAGAGCTACAAGACACGGGAAATGTTGACGTAGTCCTTTTAGTTGACAGATGTAAGCACGTGGGCCGTTCTATGAACAAAAGACTGTATGAACTCGAGGAACCCGCGATCATCAAAAACGGGAAAGGAAGACGCACAAACCCTTGTAATTACCCATTCGTTCCAATATAGGTGAAGAAGAAGAATCATTAAGGTGCCAAAAGACCATAACTTTTTTCTATTCTTCTAGAAACATTCGTCTTGTGGGTAGTCTAAAAACTAACCTGCGACTGAGTGTGCGCTCTTGTGCTCGCTCAAAGAAACGGTCTTCATTATTATGAGCCCCTAACAATTCTGTCAATCATAGTAGGGGCTCTTAATGACAATACTGAAAGACATGCAAACATTAGAAAAGCAGCGCAGGAAATTCTTGTGCTGAAAGACCTTATCATTGCTGGCCCCAAAAACGCGTAGAACTACTGTTACTGAAGGCGTCGGCTTTTGGTACCTGTAACAATTTAATGGACTCCTGTGCTCACGGGCACTTCTGTAATATTACCAAACGCCTCGTGCAGACCTTGCGAGGGTTCTGTTTAGAGAGTTCTTGGGCTCGTTGAGAAAAAGTGTGTTTTTGTACTAGTCCGAGCCTTCTCTCAATAATAATAGGGCTCTAAACTCTAAAGGACTTATGCACTTGTTCTCACATGCAAGCCCAGAACATCAGAGAAACACAGGCAAGGCACCCATGCCAGCAATCGCCCATGGATCTCCTGAGCCGCCAGGACATGAAGGCCAAGCAGGTGAAAAAGGGAATGCTGCTCACCCCAGTCCGCCTCTGTTCGCAAGACACAATGCTGGGTGGCAGCAAGAAAAAGTACTGCTGCCAACGCATAGCCCTCAGCCCTGAACCCCGACACTGCCAGTAAACCATGAGACCGCTTTGCAGCACGGGGTGCGCGATTGGCCGATCCAGAAAAGGTCGATCGAACCCACCAGTGGGAGGAGTATGAGATTAGCCACGGCTGGGGCCCAAACCTCGGCATTGGGTCTTTCGGGGTTGGGGTCTTCCAACTCAGTGCTTTGGGCTTGGAGATGGCAGACAGACTGCAAGCGAAAGCCATAAGCTTTGATGCTCGCCTTTGGGACAGACTTCTGACTGCTTCCGAAGTTCATATTCATGATTGCCGTGACTCTTATTTGGGAGGGGCAGGGTGAGTTCTCTCTCACTTCATGGCTTCAGTATTTTGGAAGGGCATCCCTATGCTTGGAAACTCCGGAGGCCTCCAAGATCTCCCTGTCCAAGGCTGACCACTGCCATCTCTTCGATGGCTCTGGGGAGTCTGGGGACTCGGAGCGAGGCGTAGAACGAAGGCCTCAGCATGTTATAATATTTATATTTACGTATTTATTTATTATTATTACATTTTTTGGGGGGTGGCGGGGAGTGGGGGGCGTTGACAAGGAGACTCTTGCAGCAAAAATGCGGCGAAAGAGGTATCCCGCTGGACAGATGATGGCCCTTCAAGTCAATCCCTATGTACCTTTTCGACATTGCAGATGCCCGAAAAGGTTCACACACTGGTGCCGCCTTCCGTATCACCGTCCTAACCCCTGACCAACCCTAAACCCTGTTTTACGGCTAGGACTGCTGCACTGCCTGCCAGGGACCCTTATAAACCCTAAACCCTAAACCCTGCACCCTTTTGCGGCAGGCTTGCAACCCTGAACCCTGAACCCTGAACCCTGAACCCTGAACCCTGAACCCTAAGCCGTCTTCGAACGTCTTCGCGGAGGTGCGCTGCTGCCTCTGCCAGCCACAGTGGAGGAGCGAGGCGGTAATTCCCGCGATCTCACTGCAGGGCCTGGCGCAGGCGAGTGGACTTAAGGATTCTAAGAGCAATGGGATGGGTGGAGTTGCAAAGAAGGAGTCGATTTTCGAGGTTTGAGTTCGGATATGTTTGGAGCCTAGCCTAGAGTCTAGGGTTCGAAGCTTGAGGCTTTGGGTCAAGCATCCTCACTGCCAGAATGGTGTCGGGAGCAACGGCAAAGGAGCAGGCAGATTGCTCAGACGCGAAATTAAAGCTCTATATGACCTCGATGCCGGGGGACACTTTGACACCGAGCGTTCTGGCAGCACAAGTTCTGTGCAAACGGAACTCAGGAGGGAGCGGAATCGCGACGCGCGCCACAGCAAAAAACTGTTGGCATGCACTTCTGTCCTTTTTGACCGAACAGGTGGATAAAGACCCTTGAAATGGAATTGTGCGAGGCTGGGGGTACTTGGGAGTTGACTCTGCGCACTTTGTGAAACCCTCGTGGCACGTGTGCAAAAGTTTTGGTTGAGGACATGCCGGAAAGAACCCACACAACAGAAGCACCACCCAAGCATCCCTAGCTGGGACAACTTCGCCCTATCCGTAATCTTGCTTCTGCCCAGTACCGCAAACACTGAAGCCCTCCTGGAGCCTCGTCTGCCCACATGTGAAGTAGGGTTTATATTTCTTGTAACCCCCAAAAGGACACCCAGTATATACCCTCACCAATATTAAAAAATATTAAAAAGGAACCTTATATACACTCACCAATAGCAGTAATAGAAACGCTGCTTCATGTGCCCATCACCATGTTGGCATGGCCTGGTCCGGCGGGCTCTGGGCGCGTCTACCTATGCCAAGGCAAGTTCCGAAGGGTTTTTTGGACTTGGAGAAATCCGCCGAGACCTTCTTGGGCCCCCGTATGCCCTCGTCCCGTGTCTTAACTCTTAACCATCTCTTCTGGCAGTCCCCCTGCGCCCCGGCCCAGGCAGGTCGCGTGGCATTAAAATTCACGAAAGCGGAGCTGCGGGCCCAGGGGCTCAGCAGGTCACAGGGCTTGGCGGATTGATGAACTGGCTTGATCCCGCCTCCCAACTCCTGGCCGAATCAAATCCTGAGTTCACCATACACATACTGCAAGTTGACTCGCTGCTCCGAATGCGCAGCTCAAAATCAAAGTAGTGCTAGCAAGATGAGCGCGAGTAGTGGCGAAAGCTCCCATCCGAGTGGCTAATCTGCGATGAGAGCTTGCAGGCTTTCGCTGCGCCCGTGGGGCCCAAGCTGCTTGGCGCAAACATAACAAAATCAAAGTGTGGTACATCCAGTGAGACAGATATTCGTTTCAGATTCCTGGCATGGTCCAGTTCTCCCTCATGAGCTCGTGCATGGTTTCATCCGTCATCAGGTTTTATTGCTGCGGGTCCATCTTTTCAAAACTCAAGGCAGCCGAACAGCTGTGGAACGCAGGCATACAGCACTTTGCGGTACTGCACCTTGCCCCGAACTGTGTCTCATGGACTTGCAACCCGCATTGTCTATGGCACTTGCCGATGCTGCAAGCATCCTCTACAACCGCCGAGTCGCCTTGCCCGTGCCCACTTGTCTCTAGCTAGGAAATTCTGGACCACTTCTCACCTGTGTCTCTGCCCTGGCAATTTCAAGTTCAAGGCAGGCAGGGCCCACCAAGGTGGCTGCGGTGCGTGAGATGCAGTGCAAGTAGTCCGCCTTCCCGGTGCCTTGCTGTCAGAGGAACGTGCACAGATACTCTGCCTTCAAGCGCCCAACACAAGCCCCGAACAACAAACACTGCGTACGGGCAGGCCCACATTCAGCAAACAAGGTCAGAAACATTCAGAGACAACCCGGCCAGTCAGGAAGGCCACAAGGGCAGAGCCGAGAAATGGATTAGAAAACCCGATTCAGGAAATCGAACACCACGCCCTGATTGTTTGAACGTGCCGTAGAGGTTCAGCCCCGCAGGAGTGCTTTTTCGATCTTTTTCGGCACAAGAAGAAGCAAACCTCGTGGCGAGCAGTTCCCAGCATCACGATTGGAAAAGTCACAGAAAGAAAAAGGCCCGAGTCAGAAAGCAAGGTGGAAAAATCCTGCGCCGGCACGGAGCAGGCCACACAGCGACGATAAGCACAGCCACGATTCAAAAACAACCACCGAAAACATGCCCGACTTAGCAAGCAAAAAACCGCGAAGTGGGCAACACTGTCCGACCGGCCAGAGCCCATCAACGTGTGCATCATTAACAGAGAAGAAATTTCACGGAAAAGGTTGAACCATACCGAATGCAGACCCCCTGAAGCTCTGAACTCCTCAAACGCACGGAGATGTCGGCAGCTTGGGCAACTACCACCTCTTCGACGGGCATGCGTCTACCACATGGATGGAAACGTAATGTGATTGTTCCTTGGATTGTTCCTTGCATTTCCTTGCGTTACACGTTACACATTACCTCTCCTGCTGTTAAGTCTTGCTTGGACCAGAGACATTTCGTCAGTGAGGTTGGCTGCCCTGTTTTCTGAATTCGGCCTGGATTTGCTGAATGCCACTGCTCTCCCCTGCACACGGTTCAGTTTTTCAGTTTCCGGGTTCGGGCTTGACGTGGAACTTTCGAACTGACCCTCTTGCAGCTCTACTCTCTTCAAGTTGCGCTGGTGCAGGGCCATGAGCAAGTACGGGAAGAAGGGCAAGTAGGTCCTTCCCCAAATTTTCGAGTTGGATCACTCGAATCGTGACCCCATATGGAAGCTTAGGGCCGGGCGCAGGATGCAAGGACTGCCGGGTGTGACCTCAGTTTCAACCATGCGCAGTTCAGCTGGGAGCTTCGGGCTTGAAATGCCCGGAGTGAAGCACGCGTTTTTGCAATAAAGCAGACAAGGGGACCGGTTTTCCCAGATCAAGCTGGGGCGATTTGTCTGCGTCGGTGGGACTTGGATGAATAAGTTGCAAGGTCCTCGCAATGTCGCCGATGCGTGCCAAGACCGTTTGCGCACGGGGGGATCATTGGTGCTTTTGCAAGCAATGCGCACATGGCAGGCCCCAAAATAAGAACTTCGTGGAGGCCCATTGCTCTGGAACAGAACTCAATGAACTCGAAGGTCCACATACTAAGCCCAATGAGCCTGGAATTCAACATGCCAGCTTCAAAGAAGCTGAAACCGAGCTCAGTGCGCTTAGAGACGTCCATGAGGGCCTACGACAAGGGGTGAGCCCGGGTTGCAGCTTAGGGATGCTTAGGGATGCTCCAGTTTTGGGGGTTACGGGGTTGGACGTCATCCCCGGCACGCTAAGGGCTCCTAAGATGTTTGCCCCCAGGATCCTTCCGAGGATTTCGTGCTGGACCTCTTGCAACCCATCTCCAGGAGCTCAAAAAGAATGATTCGGCTTTTGTCATCCTTATTCCGCCGAATGCAACCAAAACGACCCACCCGAGCACTCCGAGAGGAAGCAGAGTTCAGCTTTGGCCTCGTGGAGCTCGCGGAGCATTTGCACGTGATGCTGCCTCCAGCTCCAGCAAACTCCCAAAAGCGCCAAATGTGTTTATAAACTATATTGTATTTGTATACATATACATAAATAAATATATAATCACTTCCCCCTTTTATTAAAGATCCCCCTGATACTAAAAATCCTTTCCGGAAAATCCTGCCCAAACCGAGCCCGCCTTTCAAAACCTATTCCGAATTAGGGGGGGGGGGGGTTCAGGGCTCCTAAGACCCTGAAGCCAACGAGGGTTTAGGGTCTAATTAGGGTTAAGGGTTTAGGGCTTCGGGTTCATTAAGGGTTTAGGCTTCAGACTCAAGGCTTTTCGCAGCATGATGCTGTCGGTGAGCGGCCTGTCTTGGCTCTCCTCAGCCTACCTCACTAGTCATACGATATGCCAGATCTTTCCTGCCTGGCTGTCTTGCTACCCTAAACCCTTTGAGTAAATCTGGAGTCTAGAACATGGCATTTCGATAAAAACCCCCCCTAATAATAAAAACACATTTCGAATTTCTATTGGGGGGGGGGGGGACCCCCCGTTTAATATTAGGGGGAAACGATTATATATATATATATATATATATATGTATATATATGCACCATACAGCATTTTGAACTGGGCACCCACTTTTGCTTCAATTTCCGAACATCTGCACATCAGAAGCCTGTGGACACCCGTGCGGACACCTGTAAGGTGCCCCATGGGGGCCTCTCGGGAACCAAACCCCGAACCCCAAACCCCAAAACCCCAAACCCCAAACGCTAAACCCCTTTTGAAGCTGGACTTGCTAACCCTAAACCCCTAAACTCCTAACCCTCTCAACCCTCTTTAGGAACCCTGCTCGATCTCCTCTAGGATGGCCTCCGCCTCCTGGCGCACTTGTGACGCAGGGATTGTGGCGGAAGGGGGGGAGGGCTTCCCAGCTCTCCTGAAACAGCGCCGGACCTGGGCATCTTGGTTGTTGAGCAATTCGTGTTTTGTTGGGACGGTTTGCGTGCGGAGATATTCAGAGTCTATGAGTTGGGCTGTCGCAGAATTCGCGGCTGTACAATCATCATTCGCTTATTCTTCGCAGGGTGCACAAGGTGCCTCCATCTTGCCTCTCCAACCAACATGCCTGACGGTTGAGGGTCTGGGAGATAGCACTTCGTGCTCTGGCAGCCTTGCACTCGCGAGGGCATTATTTTTCGCTTGCCGTGGCTGCAAGAATTTTTGCATAACCGTGACTGTCTTATTTTTGCTTCCTTGCATGTGGTACTCGTAGCCCGTACAGCCAGGGCAATGCTAAGCAGAAACGCCTCCGGTTCTTTTTGCTTCCAAACATTACCATCTTCAGCAATTCCTACTGTTTGCAGGTCCAAGATGGTGCATCTGCGTCGTTTACAGGCGCAAAAACACAGCCTTTATGACAGCTCAGTACAGCTCATAGGCTCCAACTGGTGCAGAAGCTTTTAGGCTTCTAATATCTTCAAATGCTATGAATGAGAGCTGTGCGTTCCTGTTTTTCCATCGGCTCCCGAAGCTGTCAATTACAGCATTTTGTGATTTTTCGTCCGTTGCGGACTCTGATTGTTCGCAGGCAGGTGCATGTAGCATTTCTGAACTAGCCAGCTTGATCAGCTTGCACTGCTTGAAAAGAACGGCGGCCCCTTGCACACATCTGAGACGTACACCATGGAAGCTGTTTCAGCAGGGTTTTCAAAAAGAAAGAGGCCCCCCTTGCACTTAGGATATGTCATCTCAGGCCCAGGCCTCCACACTTTGGAAGCCCACTTGCCTCAGCCAATGGAAGTTTTTCATTTTTCAAGTTGTATTGAACGTGCATCCTGTCTCCTGTCCTGTCCCTCCTGAAGAGAAGGGGTTTGGGCTTGCGGCTTGTCCTTTATCACCTGGGCGCGCGGCAACGCGAAGTATGACCCCGTCGTCCTCGCAGGACAATGCCCACAACCCAACACCGTTGAACAGCCCGTGAGCCCCAAGCCCCCAAACCTCCCAGAAGGACCCCTGGGAGACTTTCAGGCCACGCCCCGCGCCTCGAGGGCAAAGTCAAACGCCGCCTCCTCGGAGCAGGGCTTGGAATTCAAGAGCTATGATTTATGGGATATGATTTAAGAGATGTGATTTAAGGGATTTAGGGCATACATGGGCAGACCCAGGAATTCAGCGGTCATGCCGTCATGGTCTCTTTTGGCTATATAGTGGGAGTGTCTTGGGTTGCGAATGATTGCAGCCCATGACCCTCTCTTGGGGGCATCTCTCAAAGACTGCGTTCAACCTTCAAACTCCGGTCGAGTTGGGCGCTTCTGCCTCCGTAGGTGTTAGGCCATGTGGGGGACGCGTGTGGGAGTTGAAAGGCTTGTAAGGGCTTTTGGGATGTTGTCTCCTTCCTTTCAGCACTGCCTGGGCTTCGCCTCTCACTGCAAGCAAGCTGGGAAACGAAGTGCCCAAGGCACCATGAAAACCGCCCCGATTCTTCAAATTCCAACTGTCCCCCTCCCACCCTCCCCCGCCAGCCTGCTTTAATGCGAGGAACCCTATTTCCCAGTAGGCCGAACCATAATATGACGTCGTGTTTCGGTTTGCATGCAGTTTTTTGGCATGAGGAGGCCATGGGCTGATTGCTGGGGAGTTTGTTTTCAGATTTGGTGTGCGTTTGAAGTTGAAGGCTTGAAATCAGGAAGGTCCTTTGAGGGCTTCCCATTTGGGTGGTTGTCAACATGATGGTCCCTTTTTGGATCCCATGATAATGCGGCACCTAATGTTTAGGGTACCCCAAAGGGATCAGAATTTTGACAGCCACCCATTTAGCTTTCGGCTGCAGCGACAACTCCCATGGGCACGGCTAGCTTCGGCGCAAGAAGTGAGGTGCGGACGAAGGTCTTGGAGGGATGCCACATGCGTTCGCCATCTTAGTTGTGGCCCATGGAAACCACACCCCTAAACCATAAACCCTGAACCCCCAAACCCTAAACTCTCAGAACTTAGGGCACCCTGAACTTGAACTCTGTGATCCCCCCAAGCTTTGGTTGCCAGCAGCGCAGCAGCTGAGACGGCGGCCGAAACCAGCCTGCCTGGCATAAAAGTGGACCAAAGTCAAAGGTCCGTCCCGTGTAGTGACTAGTGAAAAGGGGGCAAGGTCGATGCCTGAACTTTGTGCAGCTTATACCAGGAACCTGATAGAAGCCTTTGCTTCTGTTGAGAAGACCAAGGTGTGGCCCTGTCAAGCCAAAAAGCGCACCCTCAGCACACTCCCGATCCTGAAGCCCACAAGCGAAGGCATGTTCACTTCAACACAAATACTGTGCATCTCGCCTTATGAAGCGCTCAGTTCCTTGCAGCCGCTCACCGGTACACAGCAGCCTCGTTGGCCAAGGGCCAAATGTGAGTGAACACGTCGAGAACGTGTGACCAGAATCGGTGGATGGAAGTAGCGGTGCAATTCAGTTCTGGGTGGTTTCCACTTGCGGAAACTGAGACTATTCTTCAATGCATGTCTAATGTGTCACAGATTTGCCGGCGAGTGTCCAACAGAAGGGAGGGACCTGCAACTCTATCGGGCTAGCAACACCTCATGGCGGCAATAGATTTGGTGTCAGGTGTCGTTGTCTTGCAGCGTGCGAGAATTCCCTGAACCGACCAGGGTTTGAGGCGTCGGCATTGAAACCCCACCGGCACCCACATAGCAGATCCTATCAGTCCTATCAGCCTGAGAACTCTGGAACAAAAATCCCCGAGCACGGCTCGAAGGCGCCGACTGCGGCGCCGCACTGGGAGCTTCCACCGCCGTCACCGCAGATCTCGCCTCAGTGGCCCAGATGATGTGTGATGCAGTTGGAGGTGCCGGATGCTTCAAGCGGTTCATTTTTGTTCCGAGTGATACAGGCTTCGACCTGCTCACAACTCGGACAGGCCAGGGAGGTGTGAGGCTTTTCGGACTGGGCTCCAGGATGTCTCAAGGCGCCCAGCGCAACTCCTGGGGTCTAGTAGCTTCGAGTTTCGGAATGGGGTTCAAGTTCTGAAGAAAAGCTGGCATGAGAGCATGCCCCTCAAGAGCAGCCTCAACCCGAAAGAATCCACAAGCTGTTGGAATGCTGTTGGATACCTGATGAACCCCACTGGGGACCCCGCAGCCTTGGGACAACAGCGCTCCAAGGTGAACATGCCATCCTGTGGCAGCTTCTGGGGTCCTAGGAGATACTGGTAGGTGGTGGTTCGGGCAGAGGTGAACTCGCTGGGCTTTCGAGATGAAGGATTTCGATGGATTTCGACAGCTGGCCATTCAAAGTCCTCTTGACAAGACGATTGTCGAATGTCCCGGAACCCTCTCTCTCTCAACTCCGCTTCCTCCAGGGCGAAGGATGGCTGTTCCAGTGCCACAACTAAGGCTCCGTCCCAGCAGCTTGGATTGCCGCCCGCCCTTACAGTGTGGCTACTGATGCATTGGAGGCCTGATTTGGAGTTTGCTCGGCGCTTGGAATCCAGCCCATACCGATGCGTGTTGCAGCAGTCGGCAGCCATGCCACTCCACTGCGAGCCTGTGCACATGATGGCCCATCAGGATAGCCAAAGGCTTTGCAACTATGAGTCGAGACGGCCAGTCGGCCTTCTGGAAAGCACTCCGTCTGCTTCATCTCAAGTGCATCCTGCGAGGCGAAGACTTCGCTTGCAGGGGACGCAGGAATGCCTGACACGCCCGTCCTCGCGGAGACCTCAGACGGCTCACACTCCAACGACATCATCAATCCCAGCCAGATCTCTGAGACCTCGCTTTTTCCGAAGACGTGACAAAGCCAATGTCGCTTTGCGACGGTGGCAGGCAAGCCAAAGGACCGTGTCGTTAACTACACACAAAGCCTGGGGCTTTGCCTCTCGATGGGCGCACTTGCGAAGCCGCGCATAGCGCAGATTCTGCACGGCCACTCATTTCTCACAGCCCACAGCCATGTTTTTTTGCATCCAGGCCTGCTCACACAGCCTGACATGTTCCGAAACCCCTATATTCCGAACCCCTATATCTCTCTAAGCCGTAAGTAACATCCCAGCAGCCTTGCACCGAGGGCCGGGGCAGGGCAACCTTCTCAGCGCGCTTCCTTCAGGTACCTGCTCTGCTGGTCCATCAGCTGCTGAAAGGCCAGCTTCGCAGCATCCCGGCAGTCGGCATTCCTGGGCTTCGAGCTTAGGCGAGACGCAGCAGAGCAAGCTCTCACAGGCAAAGGACCAACTCAATAAATCTGTCCGGAACCCGTGCTTAGGAACAGAGAACTGCTCTCAAAACGATTGCAGTTGAGGGCAGCTGCAAAAGCTAAAGTGGACATGAACTTGGTCCACCACTGCGTGCGCTGCGGACTTGCGCGAAACCGCCCACATTCCCATTGTTCACAAACAAGCGTCTTGTCTGGATGCAGCTTGCGTTGCAGTTCACGAAAGACTTTTCGCCGAAAGGCGAGGGGCTCATTCCGAGTGGCCGACAATGTTTCCTGCAAGGGACATTGCTCTTCTCTCATGCTCATATCAACCCGATGGTCAAGATCCTTGTGCCATAAACCCAAAAGCCTCAAAAGGTCCAAAGGTGTGCTCTGTACTGAAACCGCCCTTCAGCAAGTGCCCTCGTCGCCTTCATCTGCTGCAGCAGGAGTTCTGTCTGCCTGGTGTTTGTACAGCTGCACATTGGCGTTTCAGAAGCAGTTCTGAACACCCTGAAGCTGCAAGATACCTTGCAGGAACGTACCGCTGGACCGTGCCCATGTCACTTGAACCTGGTTGGGTCCCAGCCCGGTCAAGCCGTGCTACTGTTCCGACACTGTTCAAAGGAAGAAGCCTCCCGGAATGCTAACCTTAGAACCCTAAGCCCTAAACCCTTTTGCAGCCGGGCTTGGGCAGTCAGCCTAAACCCTAAACCCTGAACCCTAAACCTTAAGGACGGTAAGGACCAACGAAGAACAGGCCGGAGTGCGATTCTACCGAGGCCGCATTCTCCCCTTCGTAGGCGGTCACGGCATCCCGGCCGCGGCCCAGGAACCTTGTGGTTGAAGGCCGAGGGCTTATTGAAAGCATATATGTATATGAACATATAGATATGGCAAAATGAAAAACACACACATATATGCGACCGAATGCGACCCCCCCCCCCCATATCTGCCTTTTAGGGGGCTACTTATTCCACTGTCTGACTTACAATGCGAACGGGCCTCCAACTCATATCCGGGACATTTCAAAATCTACGAAGTCATTCAAAGTTTTCTCCTTGCAAACTTTTTTAAAAGTTGCAAACAGTCATTAAAACGTGTCTCCGCTCAGGGTAGGCTAGTCCTTGAGGACGGTGTGGCTGGGCTCTTGCTTGTGAAGTGGAGGGGACATGCTAATTAAACACTGGATTGGCCGCGGCTGGGCTGATCATGCATTTGCAACCAAATTAAACGCCTTGTGGGGGTGTGGGGAGGGGAGTAGAGCCAGGTCAGCACAATAACAAAGAAACACCTTCAGAATAACGATAGAAACCGAGGGGCGCCCGGAAACCTGCAGAATTCTTCGCCCTGGAGCATAAGAAACAGAGAATGGTCGAGGCTACGGGCTTGGAACGGTTTCGGGGGCACAGAGAGAATAAGAAGACAAGTGTACAGTACAAGGAAAAACAGTAACACGTCCGTCCTTCATCATATTCGGCTCTCCCCAATTGACGACTCTATAGTAAACCAAACTTGGCGCCATTATTACCATCAGGGGCACATTCTTGATTCATGGAGATATGATATCAACTGGCCTACCCTCCAAGGTCTAAAGTAGGTAGCGAACTGGCGGGGTGCGCCATCAATCTATCAAATCTATCAATCTGTCACTCAATCTATGTGTGTATACGATATTAAACAATATAGACGCACACCCACCCTCAAGTTGTCCCCAACCTTCAGGGATTGAGGGGCGCATAGGGCTCTCAGAATGATAGTCGGTCCAGGCGCTTAGGCTTGCGGGAGCTGAGCCCTATTTCAACTCTCACACGCGCACGGCAGGCACCATTTGAATTCATGGGCGTTCAGCCCAGTGCTCCCTTGAACCCACGTTCTGGCTGTAGGTCCCTGGGTGCCGGACGAGGAGATCTTCCATCGGATGTGAGAAAACCTCGGCAAGTTGCACGTTAGCCTTTCGCCATCTTCGTCGCAGATTTGCAGATTCAAGCCCGAGAGCAGCTGGCCCAGGGAGGACTTCTTGGGTGCGCTCGGCTGGGCATGCTGGGCTGGCTTCTTCTCCGGCGTTGGCATCTTCGTGGCCTCCTGGTGGGCAATTTGAGCAAGGGGAATCGGATGGTCGCTTCTGAGGCTTCTAAGGCTTGGCATCCTACGAATTCTAAGCTGCAGATTTCGCCCTCACTGTTTTCGGCTTTACTCGCACCGGCCGGCCTTCCTTCGAGAGCTCCTTCTCTGTCGCGCCTGGCGTTCCTGCTGCTTTTTCTCTTCCAGGAAAAATGGTGTGGCAATGGTTGCATTGCAAGAATCAACCCTCCCCCCCCCCCCCGATGGCATATGCAATGGAGCAGGCAACCACAAGCCTCAGCTCAAAGCTACTGTGCCCATCCTCCACCTCCCTCTGCTGTCGAAGCTTCTCCTCTTGCTGACGCTGGAACTCCTGTTGCTAACGATCTGGGGGTGACCGGTGAGTCGGGAAAATGAGTCGAAAAAGCGGGGGCCGAGTCAAAAGGCCAAAAAGCCGGGTCAGAAAAACAGGACAACATGAGTCAGAAACACACAAGAGGAATGCAGGAAAAGGCGAGCGTGTCCATCTACAACCCTGGAAATTGAAACCCGAAATCCTTCTCGCCTGAGCCGGCCGGATTCTCTCTAGGCGTGTCTCTTCTGTTGTTGGACTCGAGGCGACTCGCAGGTACTTTTCCGGACTGGACCGTCGGCCCATACTTCTTCACCGGCTCGTGGCCCACGTGGCCGTGTTTGGCCTGAGAGGTTGCGTAAACCCTCAACCCTACACCATGGTCCTCCAGAATCTCGCGCTGCTGCTTCTGAGAAAATGGCGGCGGCTGCGCCGGCTGGGGCGGCGCCTCCTCCATGCGGCTTTTGAGCAGGCGCGGGGACGGCTCGTCGCGCTCATACCTGATCTTTGCCGTTCTGCTCAAAGGGACAGAGCACACCATTCCTAAACCCTAACCCCTAAACCCTCATTGTTCAACAAAACAAACCCTCAAGAGCAGCACCCTGGAGCCCCTTCAGCCACATCCCTTCACATCCCAAGCAAACCAGGCCTCTGCAGCTTCGCCTGCATCTCCCGGAAGACTTCCTTCTGCCATGCCTGCAGGGCTTGAGGTTCAGGGTTCAGGGTTTAGGGTCTTAGAACTTTACTCTTGGGGTCTGGGGTCTCTAGAGTCTAGGTTGCTGGATCGGAACTGAAGGATCTTCTCCTTTGCTAAGGCTTGTCGGAAAGAGTTCAGGACCTACTCCCAGGGTACTTTTCAAAACCACCTGCTCCACGTGACACCACCTACTTTTTCGAGAGCAAAGGCTTCTCTCTGCGCCCTGTTTCTCCAAATATCGGTGGTGCCTGATGCATCCTGGCAGCCTGTCGGATCTCCCGAATGCGATCGTGGGCAGACCGAGGTGATTCCAAGAGGTGGGCGTCCTAAGCTTTGATTGAGGGTTTAGGGTTTACGGTTTGGGGCATGGTAGCTGCTACATTGCGGGATGCTCCGAGGCACCACCAAGGAAGACCATTCCTCCGCAATCATTTCCTCGGTGGCCGCATCTGCCGCTGTTGCAGCGCTGAGTGGCCCTGGCATCTTCTCCCGCACCTGGATGATGGTCATGACTGGTCATGCTTGGTCATGCATATGACCAAGGCAAAAAGATGCTCGAGGTGTGATTGTTCGGAACTTTCGGCAGCCCCAACCTGGATGTACCTCCCGAAAGTGCTGGAGTGCAGCGCCGCCTCCTGGATTGTAGGGTGTCGGGCGGAAGGCTTGGTCAGCTTTGTGAACGCAGTAGTTGCTGTTAGAGTGAGCCACAAAGACTTCTCACAGAGCCAAGAAACCTCAAACCTCCTTGTCCTTCCTTCATCAGACCTCGATTGCGCGACCGACGCCACCGAAGACAAATTTCAAAGTCAAACCTTCTTGGGATCTTCTTGGGACTCACCCCTCGAGCCCTTTTTAGCCTCAGATTCCAGTCCCACTCTCCCTATGTCCTTGTCTAGGCTGGGCCCAAACGAATGATTTTCCACAGCTTGCCTTAGAACGCGAAGGGGGGGGCTGTACTTGAGAACATCAATGTGCCAATAAGCACTGGCCAACGAGGAACCGTTTGCGACAGACATGTCAACCCTGCACAGCCCCATGACTATACTATAGCTTGCCCAAGGGGAAGCCTCGTTGTGCAGGCCCACGGATGTGTCATGACATGTTTTGAGTCGCGGAAGCACTTACCAAAGCAGGGGCTGAGCACAGTGGGACGGCCATTGCCAATGTCGCAATATTCTGCAAAGCCGAAACCAAACAAAGAAACCGTGCTGTTACATATGAATCTTCACGACTGTCAAGGAGCGGCTTTGGCAGCATATGTGGAAGCATCGCAGCACCTTCCACGACAAGCTGGTTTAGGGTGTGGACTGGCAGCTGCTTGGATATAGATTTCGTGGCCACAATCCTAGCCTCGGCACCCTTAGACCACCACCCAAGCCCATAAACCATAAGCCCAAACTCAGCTCCCAGATCTCTGACTGTCACGTTGCGCCTCACTTCACGGCCGCCTCGTGCATCGGGCCATTACCTGCTGAGTCAGTCAAAGTTGTGAACTTCAACTCTCAAGCAAGTTCACCATGAGGCCCGAGCTAATCCAGCGTCGCATATTAACACGAGGACAGCGCAGCTAGGGTTTCGACGCTCTCACCCTGTAGGCAAGGCAGATCGGTCAATTCAGGAGCACACGCCAGCTCTTCCAACCAGATAATCGGCACCTGCGTGGGCCTAGTTAGTCAGGACCTGCTCTGAGGGGGAATCGTATTCTCTGTGTCAATACACGACTCTCGGTGCATCATCACTACACACCAGTCTCACAGGCTTCGCGAGCACAAATTGAGTGCTTCTGGAGTGCTTTTGGCACGCTTTTTGAAGTGGTCTTGCAAGTGTTTGGGGTCTATATGCAAGCATCTTATGACGGTCTTATTGCTATGTCATTTGTTGGCTTATTCGTTCTTCATAAAGAGGGTCCTGGCCTGCGCCCTCGGCCAGGCAAGCTGTGGCCTAAACCCCTCCACTGCAGCGGCTGCGGCCGCTCGCATGATGACACACGTCTCAACAAGCGTTCCGTCCTTGTATCTTGCTGCTGATCAGCTTCGTGATGTGGCACATTCTTGCCGAGTTTTGTGTCTGAGAGAGAGAGAGAGAGCGCGCACGGGCATTTCCAGCGTTGCTGCGTTGACCATGCGTCAAGCACAAATGCAGTCCACCATGTTTTAACATCCACCATCTTTTGACATGGGTCAGCTGATTCAACTCCCTGGGCGCGACACAAGGTGGCAAGTGGATCCAGTAAGCTGAAGCTCCGGCCTCTCGCGCAGTTCATGTGGGTTCTGGCGGCCACTGGGCTCGATAGTGGGGTAGCATCTTACTCCTGAATTCAAAAGCCAAACCCTGCTTCCAAAAACTGAAGACTTAACTCTCAGATTCCAGGGTCTGAGCCTACAACCCACACGCGGATTTCAAAGCCTAAACATGCCGAAACCTTCACCCTGACTCCTACATTGTAAGCAGACTGTGAGATGCATGATTGCCAGGTATGCCTTCCCCCACCTAAACCAGCACTTGCAAGACATAACTTTTTCTCACACGCAGTCGGAGCCATCTTCTCCCCTTTAGGAATGCAGGTGATTGGCACGGGCTTCGGCGGCCGTAAGGTTTTCCTACAAGCTCCCAGCCCTACTGAAATTGGACTCAACGGATTGCAGAGGTCTCGGACTTCCGGCTGCATTTGACATAACAACGATTTCAGATGATTTCAACATGCTCCCTTCTTTACGGAGCTGGAGATTCTGCTCCAAGACTTCAGAAGCCTCCTCCTCGAAACGCAGGCATGGAAACACCTTCCTGAAAAAGTCTCTGTGTCTTGGTCCATGGAGCGATTCTGCAGCCTGGAACTGGCCGGAGGCTTTGCAATGTTTGTGCTAGTGCGACGGTAGATCTGCGAGAGCTTCTCAGCTGGCAACTGGTAGGACAAGCTTGCTGCCATACCATTTGCCTGCCCAGCGGGTCATGAAAGAACGGCTGGACATGCTCCCCCTCCCTCGCAGATTTGCGGGCCTTGTCCGACCCCAACTGAGAAGCAAGACCAAACTCAAGCTTGGCTCCGCTAACTCTCGGGGTTTGGTTACGTGCTACTCCGACGTCACTTGGACGGCACTGCTGAACATGTGTATGGCAGGCAACGCTCAATCCCAAGGAGCTCAAAACAGCCCAGGAACTCTTGGCATAGTAGTAGAAGAAGTCGCAGTACAGCCCTGTCTGTACCAGTCCGCCGATCCACCCCACAACGTTGACATAGTCCTGTCATGACACACGTTGCGCATTTCCTTCTGGTCCATGTGGGGATCTTGACTTGAAGCAAGAAAGTCTTCAAAATCTTTTTCGGCCTAGCATATCCTGGTGTGCCATACCGGATGAAGCTGCTGGCCATCCCCGCAACTCATCCCTCCCTCTGTCTACGAGGATCAAGCCACGGACAGCATGATTGACAACATGAGCATGCAGCAAATGATTGGCACAGGGCCCTTCCATGCCGAAGCGGTTGGCAACGCAAGAAAGGCCTCCGCAAAGTACCGATAGATCCAATTCAGAATGTAGAAGGCGCCTTCCAAAAGACCAGTGCATCTACTTGTGGTTGCCGACTTCCCACTCACTGAGGGCTTGCTGTTCAGGTAAGCAAGGAACGCGAGCAATCCATTTCCCTGCTTGCCGAGTCACGATAAGCTCCCATGCAGCCCACAAAATCAGAGGTGAGATTCCTGTGCTGGACGAGGGATCAGGTCGGAATGCTCAGCGAGCTTAAAAAAATCCTAAACCCACCATACCCTGCGAACACTACACTACAGCGTCCTGACATCCTCAAGCCGAACTGCCTGTAGCACCCTGCTGTGTGTGGCTTACATGTGTTGAGAATGACAACCCGGTCGCAGAAGATCTTGACTATTGAGCAACTGAGGGTAGTGCCAGCAGCAAGTAGCTGCCATTGCTAGGCAGAGGTGCCCACCGAGCCATGTGAGTCTTCACACACATGCCCTCTTGCGCTGAACGACCCCCAACTTGCCGAAATTTAATGCATACTGGTGGCTCAACCTCTCGTATCTGCTGGAGCAGCACGAGCTGTGGGATGATAGCTACGCCTAAGTGACAGCAAACCATGCCAAGCATCGTCTCTCCAAGGAACTTCCGGGATATAGTTTCATACACTCCTTGACCTGAGCCGAGAGCTTTCCAGCCATATCGACGAGGACCACAGGATGTCTGGGATCGTGTACTCCTGACCATGCCACTTTGCATGACACTATGAGCATGCCTCAGGGCTTCCCAAGCCACTGTAGGGTGCACTCATCGACTCCGAGGCACGGTTTTTTTCGGGTGTTTGACAGAGGCGCTAGCAGCTCAGTCTGCCGGTGCAATGTAGCTTCCCAGAAAAAGCCTCTTGCCGCTCTTGCCCTCACCACTGTGTGGTTGGACGAGAAAGAAAAATCAATCGGAATTCCGAATACCGTGATGGGTCCCCAATTCGGGGGGAGGGGGGGAAGTCAGCTGACATATCATTGAAGACATCCGTGAAAATCCAGAGTGCGGGTCGTTCATGTTGTGAGCAGGAGGGGTTGGGTCTCGTCGGGGCGACGAAAAGCGAAGCCGTGGACTGCAGAACACAAGGGCGAACACGACGTACAGACCAATTTGCATACGTGCTTAACTCGTTTATCTGCCTCGCTCAATACAAGCAACTGTTTTCCAGCCAGTATTGAGCAACACCCTCACTCACCCTTTCACGGAAGGAAATCCCCACACTGCAGCCTGGAAGCAGCTCAGGCGTGAGTACAGAGGCAAGAAAGCGCTCAGAAAGCCACTACGACACAAGCTACTTTGCAGCCCTGCAGGAGTACCCAGCAGGGAACTTGATGCCGCAAGCTCTCCAAGATCAGGGCAATCTTTGACGTTGGAGACGTGTGAGGTCAGAAGCTCAGAACCGGCAGAATCGCATCTGTCCTCTGTGCAGATGAGGCCAAGCAGAACGCAGGGCCCCAGGAGGTAGATTTCGTACTGGAAAGAATCCTTGCACGAATCACAAATGACTCCGGTAGGTGGTCACGGGGTGTGCAGCGACAGGCTGATGATGCTCTCACATTTCGTGAAGTCGCGGACCCAAAACACTCCAGGACAGGCAACTGTGCTCCGCTCGTAGGTCTGGCAGACCGGCGTCTTGTACCTCATCAAGTAGATCAGGTAGCCTCGGAAGGAGAGCGCACATTGCCACTCAGAGTTTAAAGTCAGAGTTTCGAGTTTGGGGGTCAGAGTTTAGAGTTTGGAGTCAGGGTTTGGGGTCAGAGTTTAGGGTCAGAGTTTGGAATCAGAGTTTGGTGCCCTGCGACCCCATGGATCCAGCATGCTGGGCACTCATGTCTCAAATTCCTCTCAAAGGATGGTGCGCTCTGCCAACATGATGGTTCAGAGCCTTGTGAGGCACGAATCTCTCATCTTCATCCCCATGTTACCTTTCAATACCCTACCGGCAGCTGATACGAAACCAAGCAGCAGGTCGTGGTGATGTACGTGATCTTCATCACAGTGTTGTATACCTCGTGTGGCGCCACGGCCACCATCAAGCGCATGCCGCATGGATCCAGCTTGCCTAATCTCTTCTGACCAGCTGCAGAAATGAAGCTCCAAAGCAGGTCCAGGTAGCGGAAGATGAAGACCAAGGCGTACATCTCCTGCGCGCTTACGCAAGCATCGCAAGGCGGCGCGCCGCAACGGCCGCAGCGCGGGAAGGCAGGTGCAAGGAAGAACATGTCAATGTTGTTGTTGTTCTTGTTATTCTTAATATCATTGTTGATAATATTAATTTGGTATTACCATGATTATCAGGTGGAAGGCTGTGGAACTGCTGTGGAAATGGAAAATTGTGGTTCGGTGTCGAGGAGGTGTGGAAAAGGTCAGAGAAGCCCCTGGGCCCGTGCCTGCATTCGGCACGAGACGCCCACGCAGCTTTTGCTACGGTGCAACTTGAAGACCAGAAGCCTGCAGCGCCAGGACTTTTTGGGTTTCGGGTTTAGGGTTTACTGCCAGGACTTTCCGGGCTGTTGGGAGGACGTGGGCTTGTCAAGAGAGGCCCCCTGCCTCCAGATTTTGGAAGGAATGAGTTGCAAGGGGTTGGATTCTGCTTTAGGCTCCGGGCTTTACATTGAGGTATGTGCAACAACAGTTCCGATAATGAAGGGTTGCATGCCGAAATGGCCAACTACCGGACTCAAAACCAAGAGTAGGGCAGCTGGGGCCCGACAAGCAACGTGAATACATGGAGGAACTTGCCTCTTAACGAGTATGCAAATCTCAAAACGATGTAGAACACACGCACAAGTTTGTGACTCTTTACGGAGGCAGCGGGCGGCTTCAGAATCTCTCCCTCCTGAAACTTGCAGACTTGAAGCCCTAAGTCAAGGAAGCAGGCATGCCCGAGATTCCGACATGATGCTGGTCAGGTGCAGCATATCTCCGCAAAATCGAAAAATGTTCATGGCCTCGCACATTGTAACTAGCTTCTAAGCTGCCGTTGGTGGAAGAGAGTTCAAGTGCTGTTCACGGTTGTGCAAGGTCTGCAAGGTGTCAATGTGTGATGTTGATGTCCTCTACTCAGACCAAAAGTTGCAGTGCTCCGCAAATCCCGTGAGAACTGGTCCCTGTTGCAAGCAAAGGTCTACTTGGGAGACTGCGAGGCGCCAGGCAGGGTCAGAAACATCTGAGCTCCACTTAGGCCGAGCAAGATCCTGAACTTGAACCGCCTCGCTACACTGAAGAGTGACTGCTACTCAGCTGCTACTCCCTTCTCCCTCTCCCCACCCTTCATGGAGGAGTCCCTAGGAGTCCTCTTCAGAAATCTTTTCGAGTGCCTCGAGTGTCTCTGAAACAGAAACCCTCTAGCATTCCAGCCCAGGAGCTTGTTGTCCGCTGCTCTACCACCTTTCTTTTGAGTGGTTGCAAGCACGCTTCGCCTCGGCCCAATGATACGCTACTTGGCTCTGCCCTCTTCTGGTACGTAGCTCTGATATACATCTATCTTGCCGGCCAGCTTGCGCATGCTCTTCGCTTCTCGGATTGTTAATGCGGTCCCTGGGCTTTCCAACAACAAACCGAGGGCCCCGCGCGGCACTGACGAAGAAGGCACTGGGTTGTGGCCGAATCCCCACTTGTGTTCTCGAGCAGCAAGAGCAACAAAAGGTGCAGGGAATTGGGGGCCCTGGCTTTGTGAGGTAAGATTCTTAAGGCTCGAGAATATACAGGGTGGCTGCCAGGTATGTTTCGCACTTACAGGTCTTTCCTGGAAGCATGCCCCGGACCTCAAAACAAGCAAAGGGTGCCTCCTGAACAGGCATCGGAGCTACCTGCGTTGTGGAGGCAGATTCGCAGCCCCAAGTAGCCCTAGCAACTGCTTAATAAGCAACTGCAAGTCCGACCTATGTTCCCTGCTCATTGGCTGCTTGCCATGCGCTCGCTCTGCCGAGTGGCTCCGCTGGAATTCCTAGCTCTAAAACCCAGACCATGCCTGAGGCATCCTGAGGCCAGATGCGTTATTCTTTTCCCTAGCCGTAAACCTTTTGCAAACGCTGGGGTCCAAGCCCCATAGGTTCCGTCCTGCTTTGTCAGAGGCGCCAGGACCTGGTAAGCTTCTAAAAGAAACCGCACTGCAACTGTTAACCAGCCACAAGAGGAAAAACCAAAGCCCCCCATTCACCCCTCCCGTCCCCCCTAAACCCTAAACCCTAAAAATCCCGAGATTGGCGAAGCCAGCACTAGGACCTTACCTTTCGCCATCTGTCGCTGTACGATTTCAGAAAAGCGTGGCCGGGAACGGAAGCGCATAAAGAGTCTGTAAACCAAATCTCAGGGCGGCTTTCTGGCTTTGGGAACGGTAGGGTGCAAAGGACCATCAAAGCTTCCCAACAATGGCCTGTCCGTCGTGGTCCGCCAGGCTGATGCAACCCCCGCGACCTCGATGGTATGTCTCCCGAACTCTCGCCCCGAATCCCTACAGCAAAAGGACCAGCTAACATAGTTCAGGAGTCAACAATCTAGGGCTGCGGCAAGTGCTGTGAATGAGCCATGTGTGCGAACCTGCAAAGGAGTGTGAGAGCTGCCAGGTTCAGCAGTTGGGGACGGCCTTCAAAACCGAACTGTGGCTGAAGATTTTTGTTTTGGACAAGCTGTAGAAGACTGGTGTCACCAGAACCTGATGCATCTAATGATCCGAGACTACCCGGGCGTGCGTGTTATCGCCATGGACACTTCAGACGAAGAAGCTCTCTCTCTCTCTCTCACAAGTGGTCCATGGCGTAGGGCTTGCCCGACCTAGCTGCTCCCCGGTCTGCGCGTTCTGAATCCGGTACACAGCAGCGTCCTCTCCACGTTGCTCATGGAGGCATGGACTCTTGCAGACAGCAGGACGGGATGAAATATAACCCACGTGGCCTGAGTCTCAGCAACTGACCACATAGCCGTGTCGTTGACACCTGTCTGCCCCAAACCTGCCAGCATTCAGGGATGAAGCAACGCTCTAGCCGTTGCGAGGTTGCACTGCGGAAGAGGATTTCAAAACAAGGAGCCTGAACCTTATCAGCCAGAGCAAGCCCGAACATCTGTACCCGAAAATGAAAAGTAAGACTAAGCTGGGTCCCCAACTATTAGATTTTCGAAGAGGGCCTGAACCCCAAACCCTGCAGCACGCTTCAACACGGCCCGGGTTTTGAGGAACTGGGCTGGAATTGAAACTGAACTGTTTCGGTCCTTTTCGCTTGGGTTTAACTCTTTGTGTTGCTTTGCTTGTCCGGAATAAGGACCTAAAATGGAAACCTGCCTGTTTCCCCTCATCCCGCAGTTCAAAGTATCGGGTTCCCGCCTCCGGCATACAAGTACTGACCAGTATGGCGGTTCAGCAAGAAGTACCTGAGATCATGATCTCAACAGTATCAGGTAAATACAATTTAAAGGTAGGAACTGTACATTTGGCAAGAAATTGTATGTGCCTGTCCAGGGATTCGGTATCAACACAAGCTGAGGCATGTTCATCATTTTCAGGCTCTCCATAAGCACACGCAGTAACGCTGGAGTGGCCGAGGATCTTGCATGCGACGATGAGCAGAGACTGCCCAACATCCTCTAGCTCATCTACACCTACAAGCTTTTGTGCAGAAGCCCCAATCCCTAGTTCTTTCCATCTTTCCATCCTTTTGAGAAGGCCGCACTGACCCAGGCGCGCCTTCCCGGACGGAATTTCGAGAGGCCCTGGCAAGATGCAAAGTCTTCCGCTGGGTTTTGCCATCTGTTCCTAGCAGACCTTGACACCACGCATGCAGGCTTGAGGATTGGGAGATCGCTTGTCCGGACCAATGCCTGAAGGCAAAATCCCAATACGCATTGTGGGATTGTAGGGAGGGGCCTGCCCGGCTGCCCGAGAGAGAAGCAGCAAGAAGTAGCCGCCTCATGGACTACATCCCAGACCTCCCCCGAACTTGACAAGCCTAATCCCTAGGGGGCGGGGGGAGCACTTTTAGGGTTTCAACGCGGCAGATTTTTAGGGTTTACACGAAGCACGGGAATTGAGTAGCTGTCTGTTTATGGAGATCTTCTAGCACCTTGCGTTCAAGATTGTTTTGATTTCCAGCAGTTTTTGACAACTTGGGACTCTTTTTTGGGCCTACAGGACATACTGGAACATCTGAAATGCTTGCAGCTAGGCCCTCCTAAACGATACACCACGCCCAGCAAGGAACAGGCAGGTACAGGCCAGGGCCAAAGCCTGCGCGGCACCGCCTCCGCGACCTCCTTCTCTCTCAGATGCGGTCATGCATTGCAAGACATGGCAGAAAGCGCATTGTAGTTGGAGCCGCAGCTTCAGTTGCAGCTTGCTGCGTCCTCCAGGACCACACCATCAGAAGCAAGCATGGCTCCAGAAGGAAAGCACCGTCAACACCCTGCTTTTTTTGAGGAGGTCATGCTTCTGGGGAGGGTAGGGCTGAAGTGGGGGAACTTGTTTCTCTACTGGGGTCATGTGTGTGGAAGCTGGCAGTTGTCCAATCCTGCCTGGCAACTCCGTGATTTCGGCTGTGTGCGCTTTGCGCTTTGCAACATTCGAAGCTTTGAGCAAGCCAATTGCGGCTGAATCTGGCAGCGTGGGCACTTTCCATCCCCCTCTAGCCTGCGTACTGCTACAGCAGCTAGCAGGGCATCCACATGTAGCGTTGAAGCAGAATACACAAGGCTTGCAGGCAGGACTTTGA